TGCTGGAGGCAGAAGCAGGCAGATCTCTGAGTTCAAGGCCAGCCTAGTCTACACAGTGAATTTCAGAACAGCCAGGAGACCCTGTCTCAAACCAAAACAAACAAACAAACAAAAAAAAAACAAGATTGGATTCCAGATTAAGGTCAAGAAGAGGTAGGTGAATGTGAGTTTGAGGCCAGCCTGGTCTAAAAGGAAGTTCCAGGACAGCTAGAGCTACAACCCTGTCTCAAAACAAAACAAAAACACCCCCCCCCAAAAAAAAAAAAAAAAAAAAAAAAAGAATAAGAACAGAAACTTATTCCAAGCAAGCTCAGGTTCTTGCTTCTGGAAGTGAATCCTCTTCCCTGATCTCACTTTTGTAAGGACTGAGGAAGAGGGGTAGTATCTCCATTTCTCTCTCAAAAGCTGACAGTCTTCCACACGTGGTTTAGAGCTCAGCTCTAAAGCACTTGCTTAACATTCATGAAGCTGAGTCCAATCTCAAATATTCCAGTGAAGAAAAAGTTAAACAATTTTATTTTAAAAGGCAGAGGCTTGAGAGATGTCTCAGCCATCAGTTAAAGGCACTTGGTACTCTTTCAAAGAACCTGAGTTCAGTTCCCAGAGCTCACACGGTGATTCACACCTGTCTAACTCTAGTTCCAAGGGGTCTGATACCCTCTTCTGGCCTCTGTGAACACCAGGGATACACATGGTAAATATACACACATATAGACAAAAAACATATGTAAAACTGTAAAGAAAAAAGAGGCAAAAAAAAAAAAAAAAAAAAAAAAAAAGCTGGAATAACTTAGTTGGTAAATAGTTTTGCCTATTGTGCAGGAAGCCTGGGGTTTGAGTGCAAGCATTAAATAAACCAAGCAAGGAATCACATGACTAAAATCCCAGCACTCAGGATAACCGTGAGTTCAAGGTCATTCTTGGCTACACAGCAAGTTATAGGCCAGCCTGGGACAGAAGAGACCCAGTCTCAAAACAATAGGCAAAATTGAAGAGAAGACAAATTAAAGGTAGAATGCTCGCCTAACGTGCATGGCCCTGTGTTTGGTTCATATCACTGAATTAAAGAAAAAAAAAAAAAAAAAAAAGGTGGGGAATTTAAAATTAACATTAGAAATTTCAACAATTTACAGTTGGTTTCAAGAGAAGTTTTCTTATTTGGTTTTTTCAAGACAGGGTTTCTCTGTGTAACAGCTCTGGTTGTCCTGGAACTCTGTAGACCAGGTTGGCCTCAAACTCAGAGCTCCACCTGCCCCTGCCTCATGAGTGCTGAGACTGTCCATTTGAGAAGGTCTCTTTTAGGAGATAATCTCACCCTCACTATGATCTAGACTTAGCCATACGTCACACAGAAACAAGCATCCAAGGTCACCGACTACAGCACCAAGGGGATGCCATACTTAGGAGCTACTTAATCCCAGTGGCTACCTCTCTCACTGCTGAGTCATGCTTTGAGATGTCACTCCTCATCAGAGAAGGTATGACAGAGGTGTTCCGGTCTGAGGTGGGAGGAGCCTGCAGCTGCTACTACACATGGTGACCAAACCAGGAAGTTGAGGGGAGACAATAACCATCAAGGAGGGTCCCAGCACCTCTGCCAGCCAGGCTGTAAGTCCTACCAGTTTCGCAACCTCCAGAGTCCCCATGGGGCAGCCACCAACTGCCTGTAACTCCAACCTCTGTCCTCTGTGGGTACCTGCACTCACACACATACATACTCACACACAGACACATACACATAAAACAATAAAAAATACATCTTTATTACTCGTTTTGGCCTAAAACAGTGGGGTATGGTGGCACACACCTTCATTCCAGCACTCAGGAAGCAGAGATAAGTAGCTCTGAGTTTGAGGCCAGCCTGGTCTATTAGCAAGTTCTAGGTGAGCCAGGGCTGCATAGTGAGACCCTGTCTCAAACAAAAGTACAAGTATGTGGGCCTGTGGGGGACATTTCAGATTCAAGTTAGAACAATTGGAATTTAAGAGGCATTGTGCTGAAGTTGAGCAGGAATTAACTATGCTTTGCATCACCTACAAGCACACAGACATGGTAAATGGTACTGGCATAGTTCCCTCTCACTTGCATTTTCCTTGAAGCTAACATTCTCACCTAGAATAATGACATCACTAGTCAATTTCTTCTGCTTAGACACTGACATACTTTTTCATTTAGTTCATGTTTGTGTTTTTCTACTATGGCACAAAGCAAACACCATTTAGAAGAATTGGCAGGGTCAGACAGCAAATTTTTCTAGGATTTGGGTTCTATAACTTTGAGACTTGTAACAAGTAAGACAAGTTTAATAAGCAGAAATCTTCTTATTGACTTTATCTCTACCCAATACCCTCTCCTGGCCTCCATAGGACAAGGAGTGCACAATGGTGCAGACTTTATATACAGGTAAAACACCCATACACATAAATATTTTATTTTAAAAAGTATATGCTTGGTTGGTTGGTAGTGCACACCTTTAAACCCAGCACTAAGGAAGCAGAGGCAGGTGGTGATCTCTGAGTTTGAGGTCAGCCTGGTCTACAAATCCAGTTCTAGGACAGCCAGAGCTACACATAGAAACCCTGTCTTGACAACCTCCATATATCTGTCACCTATCTGTCTGTCTGTCTTATTGTAATGTTTGCTTTAAAGATTTCTTTATTCAGTGTGGTTTGTGAACCACATGCATCCCTGGTGTCCAGAGAGGGCGATGGATCCCCTGGAATGGAGTTCAGTTCTGAGCTGGGTGTGAGTGCTGAGAACCAACCTGGGTCCCTGGGGGATCAGTTAGTACTCATGACTGCTGAGCAATCTCTCCAGCCTCCTTTCATGTAGAAATAAAGATGTTGATCTTTTTTATTATTGTCTATATGGTATGTGTAGAATACATAGGCAATCAAAAAGCACACTTGAGTCTTCACATGTGTCATTTTTACCTGTTGAGCCACCACCTCACTGGCTTCCAAAAATGAAGGATATATATATATATATATATATGTAATGTATGCATGTATGTTTTGCTTTTGTTTTTTCCAAGACAGGGCTTTTCTGTGTAGCCCTGCTGTCCTGGAACTCACTTTGTAGACTAGGCTGACCTCAAAATCACAGAGATCTGTCCATCTCTGCCAGAGAAATGGTTCAACAAGTAAAGGATCTGCCACTTCACCATCTGAGTTTGATTTCCAGGGCCCACATGGTGAAGGTGAAAACTGACTCCTGCAAGTTTAAGTTATCCTCAGACCTTCACCTGTGCCATGGCAAACTCACACCAATACAAATATACAAAGTAATGCTAAAAAATCCCAGGCACAGTAGCAATGGCCAGGGAGATAGGAAAGGAGTACTACAAGATCTCCTACTCCCAGAGACTGCACAGAGTATGTGTGGGAAGCTAGAACCAGGAGGCAGTAAGGAGATTTCAGGGCCTGCTCTTTAAATATGCTAATTTGGAGATGCTGTAGTTGGGAAGTTTAGAAGGTATAATAGGTTAATAGGTATCTAGTATTCCTTAGCTCAGGGAACAATGTAACAGAGGCTTTCTTAACTCCTGAGTTAAGAGATAAACCAAGGAGCTGGAGAGAAGGCTCAGCTGTTAAGAGCATTGATTGCTCTTCCAGCAGGACCTGGGTTCAAATCCCAGCATCCACATGGCAGTTCAAAACTGTAACTCTAGTTCCAGGGGATCTGACACCTTCATACCAATGCATATAAAATAAAAAGGTTTTTTCTTTTCGAGACAGGGTTTCTCTGTGTAGGCTTGGCTGTCCTGGAACTCACTCTGTAGTCCAGGCTGGCCTTGAATTCAGAGATCCACCTGCCTCTGCCTCCCAAGTGCTGGGATTAAAGACGTGAGCCACTAGTGCCCGGCAAAATAAAGTTATTTTTTTCTTTTAAAAAGAGACAAGCAGCTCTGTGGTACAGTGTGGGCATCACATATATGTAATAGCATGATATATATGTATGTATGTATGTTCTATATATGTAAGAGCATGTTCTACCTGAGATGAATTCAATGTCCTGTGCTATCACACCAGTCCCAGACCTATGTGTACCCTGAGTTAGCCTTCATCAGGTTAAAGGCTAACAAACTTGGGGTAGGGAAATTAAGCATTAAAACAATCATATATGAGAAAGAAATCAAGGGGAAGAGTAAACACAGGATAATACAAGCATTCTTTCACACCCATGCTACTGAGAAGTTTAGTCAGGTTAGGGGAGAATTTTTAAACTTAAGAAGTGAGTCAGGCGTCTAGAGATGGATCAGTGGCTAAGAGTACTGGCTACTTTTCCAGAAGACCTGTGTCTTACAATCAGTCCTAGGGTAACTGAAGCTCTCTTCAAGCTTCCATGTGTGGCCAATTACATACAGGCAAAACACCCATATATATAAAAACTCAGAAAAAGGTGAGGTAGGAACCGAGAAATGTCAGGAGTCTTAAGTTATAACCAAATAGGGCCAAAAGGGATACTATGGGAAAAGAATAAAACAAAACAAAACAAAACAAACAAACAAACAAACAAAAAACCCAAAAAACAAAAAAAACAAAAACAAAAACAAAAACAAAAAAAAAAAATAGGAACTGAGTAGTTAGGCCACCAAGGAAGTTAAATCTAGCGTATAAATTAAATAAATATAATTTAGTTGTATGAAGTAGTCTTTCCAAGTAGGTGTCATGATTACATAAATCCAAGAAAATACCTAAGAGTGACTTACATACAAGAGACTCTCAAGTAAATATCTGGGCAGGTACAATGGTGCACAACTTTAATCCCAGCATTGGAAGAGGCATGAAGAACCCTGTTAACTCAAGGCCAGCCTGGACAGCGTAGCTCCAGGACAGCTGGCACTACATAGAGAGACCCTGCCTCAAAAGAAATAATTTAAAACATCAGAAGACATTAGAGGTAGGTAGCACAGCAGATGTAATAACAAAAGCTGTAACAACTTCAATATGAGGGAAATTGCTTTTGAAAACACAATGGCCAAAGTATCAAGAACCAAATTGATAAATGACAATTTTATTTTTATGCATAAAGGTTGATGAAAAACCATTACTAGTTCTACTAAAACTGAACATTTCAACTGAAAAGCATAGTATGTATACTTCTTAAATACCATTTTCTAAAATACAGCTTTAAACCATCTAACATGCTTGTTTAATTTCAGTACAATGGATTCAAGACCAAGTATACATGTTACATGCATCCAGGCTGGATTACAAATTGTCATAGTCATCATCATCATCATCATCGTCATCATCATCTTCTTCACGTTTTCTTTTCAGCGCATTTGCTGACTCATTGGCTGTATTTTGGGATACCATATTAGTAGTAATGAGAATATTTTTCGACCCCATTAGTGATGGATTAATCAGAACATTCTGAACTGCTGATGCTGCGGGAATTGAAGCTTTCACAACAGGGGACTGAGAAGCAGGCATCTGTACTGTAAACCTCTGTCCTGTGAGGGACACTGGAGTGCCTACTTTAGTCGAGACAGACATGGTTTGTGGAGTTGGTGTGCCTAGTGTGGGAGTACTTGGTCTGCTAGAAACTGAACCAACACTTAACCGGGGAACTGTTATTCTTCCGGCAGCAGTAGATGCCTTTTTCTGCAAAGACTTAAGCCTATAGTTTGGAGCAGTTAAACAGTACCTATCAGGTGGCAATCTAGGACCTGAGTATGGCTTGATCAATGGCAAAGGGGTTTGATTTCTTTGTCTTGCAATATCTAATAAAAAATCTCGTGGGGGAGGAGAAGTGAAAGACTGATCGGCACGGCACTGGATTGCCAATCGCACATCATCTGCATCAACAGTAGCTTTCTTAGCATGGCTTGAATAAATTTTAGCATCATCTAGAATTGTGGTCACATATCGGAAGGCAAACTCCAACATCTGATTTATAACTCTCGGCTCATATTCTGTAATCCCCATATCCTTCAGGATTTGTGCCATCATCTGTGCATCTTTCGGCATGCTCTTGGGAGAAGCCATCTTGCCAGACTCCATGATATCCGGTGATCAGACTTTAGGTCATTTAAAAAAAATATGGAAATTAGATCAAACCGAAAGTTACTTTAGTAGCAACTGTTAGGAATTTAAAATTTTCAAAAATATATTTAAAATGTAAAACACCAATCTTTTTACTTCAAGTATTCTTAAACTTCCCTTTGCTAAAAAATACTGAGTTCCTTTCCTAAATATGAATTATAAAAAGATGACACAAATAAGGTAAGTAATAAAAGATTAGGGGAAAACTAGACTATATGCAGCGAGCCTGGGCATGCAACTATCAAAGTTAAAGTGACTGATAAAAATAACAACATAGTGAGTGATATCCTACTGCTTGCATTCACAATCATCTGTTCTTCCTGAGATCAATGTATTGTCTCACACCTATGCTTAAAAAAATCACCCACATTTTCCTTCTTCACAGAAGTTGTCGCAATTATTGTTCACAAACATTGCTAGTTATTTTGGGTTAGGGAAGGGGAAATGTCCAAAATAACCACATAACAGTACTAGGCATGTAGTGCTTTTTATCTCTTGTGTCCCTAGCATAAAGTAAACTGCTTACATTTTTCCACTTTCTGAACCCTCTAGCAACACTTAGCTAACTTAACACTAACACTCTACTGACTTAAAACAACAATCCAACATCAAAGAACTTCTTACCTTCTCGAGCTAAATCGCCCACATTAACGTACTTCAGTCCTGATCTTGATGCAAGTTCTTTGCCTAGTGTGGTTTTTCCAACCCCTGGTGTACCTGGGTTGGAAGACACAGAAAAATACTGTTCAAATACTACTTAGTAGATATCAGCCATCATCCGCCCTGAAGGTTCTAAACCGACACAAAAATTCTCTTAACTAGCAATCATATATGAATATATACCATGATCTCATAAAAATTCCCCCAGAAAGCCTGGAACAGTGGTTGCACACTTTTGATCCCAGCACTCAGGGGGCAGAGGCAGGTGAATCTCTAAGTTCAAGACCAGCGGTCTATTATGGTGAGTTTCAGGACAGCTAAGGGTACAGAGAGACCTTGTCTCAACACCAGGGTTTCTCTGTGTAGCTCTGTAGACCAGGCTGGCCTCAAACTCACAAAGATCCACCAGCCTCTGCCTCCCTAGTGCTGGGATTAAAGGCGTGCACCACCACCGCCGCCGCCCAGCTAATCTACAGACTTATGGTATAGCTTTTAGATAGGACGCTGTGCTTTCTAGGTTGGCCTTTCTTCCTTAGTATTGGGATAATAAACATACTACCCCATCCAGTTTATGCAGTTTTGGGGGATCCCAGCCAGGGCTTATGTCTGTAGCCTAATGGCCTCAATGTCTTAAAGCAACTCCAAGACAGTCTGTCCATGCAAATCAGATATTGTAAAATGTCTCTCTTAAGGAATCTTTAAGGCTAAAGTCTGCTTATGACTCATTTACTGACAAAAACCCCCCGTTTCCACAAACAGCGTCTTTTTTTTTTTTTTTTTTTTTGGTATAAACGAAGAGCATCTATACCCGTTCAATGCTACAACTTAATATTTCCAGTTAAAGCTTCGAAGATCCGCAAGGGCCCCACCCACGACCAGCTCCAGATCTTAACTAAATTAGACTCTTCGGCACCAACGGCCACAAACAAACGCTTAGGAGCCTGCACCCCGGAACAACGACAATGCGGCGACACCAAGCGAACGGTTAAGCGAGTCGGCCACGTCCCCTCACGAACATCCAAAGTCGTCCACCGAAAGCTTCTGGGGAAGCGTTTCTCAGAAGCAAACGGGGGGGGGGGGATCACGACCAGGAAGGCCGCAAGACCGAGGCGCCCACCGTCACCCCATCTCCTAAGGGCTGGAAACCAGCAGCCTTTCTTTCCAGCACTCGGAGGGAGAAACGCCAAGCCCACCCCCGACCAAGCGCCAGGACGGCCCGGTCTGCGGGCGGGCGGAATACCAGATTCACGAAGACTCACGCGTCCTGCGGGGCGCGCCCGGCCAACCGAACCCCGCCCCCGCCCCCGCCGCAACGGTCGCGAGCGCCGGGTCCTGACGCGACGGCCACACGCCGCGCCGCGGCCCCCGACCACGAGCCCCCGCCTCTCCCCCCGGGACCCAGACCCCCGGCACTGCCGGCCCAGCCCGGCCCGGCCCGGCCCGGCCCGGCCCCGCGCGCGCCCTAACCGGTGAGCAGGATGTTGGGAAGCTTCATAGTCCTCCGTCCCAGGCCGCCAGCGCCCCGCTCGCGCGCCCAACGCGCAGTCCAGGGAGGAGCCGGAAAGGGCGGGCGGCCGCGGGCGCCCGCGACTCGCGTCCCGCGAGGCCCCGCGCCGAGCTTCCGGCGCACTTCAGGGCCCCTGAGCGCGCACCGATGACCTCCGGGAGCCCGGTGCTACGCTCGCACCGAACGGGGGAACCCGGGCCGCACACTTCGGGCCGGCATTTTAGGTCAGGCAGGGCGCCGGGCGCCTACGTCACTCGCTCGGCTGCCCGCCCCGCCCCTCTGTCTGCGTCGCGGAAGCGCCGCCGCTCGGGAAGGCCCCCGGGAGGCGGGCCCTCGTAGAAGCCTGCGGCGGAGCTGGGAGGGCTGGGCCGCTGTCCTCCCGCGGGGAGTAGATCCTGGGCTTCTTCGCGTCGTTCCGCCCGCGAGGGGACGTGGCTCCCGGGAAAGTAAGGCCACCGCGGCTTCGGCTACGTTTGTTAACGTCTTCGCGCCCACCTGGGCTGTCTTTGCGACCCGCCCTCCCATACGGACGGGAGTAGGGTGTGGGTGGGGAGCCCTGGTGTGCAGCGGAGGTGTGAGGTGTCACTTCTCCCCGCCGGTGCTTGCACGCTTGCCTAGGACTGATGTGTGAGCTTGGTGTCCCCCGTGCAGTGTGTGAGGTGGAGGGGGACCGGCTGGGGATGGGCCTGAAGGTCTCGTTTACCCCCAGCGGGTTTCGGGAGCCTGCCTGCTATCATCTGGGAGAGACACTTACAGCAGGAGGGGATTGTCAGTCTTGTTTTGAAAGAGCGCTGGCCAGTAACGTCATTGAGCAACCTTTATTTCGACAAGTATACTTTCTTAAGTAGATGTTTTTGTGCCCCTTTTGAAACTTAAGGCTCTAATCCGAAGTTACATAAGGGAAGGGGGTTTGTTTTATTAGGTGGGGACGTTTTTAGTGTGTGGGCTTGTGTGTGCCTGCAGCTCTAAAGTAGACCGGCGCACCTTCCAAAATGTAGGTTTATCCAAAGCGAGTAATGGATCTCTTTTAAGTTGTCAATCCACGCCCGGGTGGGGGTGGCGCTCATCCTTAATCCCAGCACTCGGGAGGCAGAGGCAGGCGGATCTCAGTGGGTTTGAGACCACCCTCGTCTACAGAACGAGTTCCAGGACAGCCTGGAAAAAAATGAAATCCAATGTACTTTGCAGCTTGATGTGAAATAAGAATTTCAACATGAAAACTGCGCATATGGAATTAGTTTTTCTTTATTACAAAAGTTAGGTTTGTAAATGTGTGGTTTTCCGTTTCATTCTTCGAGTTTATGTGACAATATTATTATACCACCACAGATTATCATATAAAATTGTAGTCGTTTAAGCTAAAATTTTCTTTAGAAGTTTAGCATGTTTACTCTATTTTCTTCCATTAGTTCTTGAGCCCCCTATTATGTGGCTGATTATGGTTAAGTTTTTGGGTTTTTTGTTGTTGTTGTTGTTATTTATTTATTTATTTATTTATTTTTATTTTGTGTTTCCAGACAGGGTTTGGGGCATAGCCCTGGCTGTCCTGGAATTTAATCTGTAGACCATGCTGGCTTCTAACTCATGCAAAACCTCCTGCCTCTGCTTCCTCAGCGCTGGGATTAAAGGCATGTGCCACCATTGATTATATATTTAAGTACTGATCACTATAATTCTGTATTTACAGTTTTTCCTAATTTGAGACGTTTTCATTCTTGTTCCCCAGGTGAATTACACTTCAATGTACTCCAAATTGTATGCTACTGATGGGAACTATTAAAGTTTATAATGTCAGAAACTTTCCTTAGACCAAAGGTGTCTTCCACAAAGGTATGATATATGTAAAATGGTCATGTAGTAATTGCCTAAAGACAATGTCAAAAGGTTATATTTGTTCTCAGGGACTTATCCTTATCCAAGTAGTGATGGTTCAGTGTCTGTTGTATTTAGTTATGTAAAGTCTGGTAATAAGCTGCAAAACAACCAGAACCTTAATTCTGAAAAAGTCGTTCCTACCCCCCCCCCCAACACAGTTTCTCTGTATAGACTTGGCTGTCTTGGAACTCACTGTGTAGATATGGCTAGCCTCTGCCTCCTGAGTTGCTGAGTTTAAAGGTTCGAGCCACTATGCCATCTTTGAAAAAGCATTTTAGGGAGCTGGAGAGATGGTTCAGCAGTTAAGAGCACTGGCTGCTCTTCTAGAGGTCCTGAGTTCAATTCCCAGCAACCACATAGTGGCTCACAACCATCTGTAATGAGATCTGGTGTCCTCTTCTGACCTGCAGGCATACATGCAGACAGACACTGTATGTATACATAATGAAAAAAATATTTAAAAAAGAAAAGAAATATTTGTAGTCCCAGTTACAAAGAGTTTAGAACAGAGAGATGTGTGTGTGTGGTAATTGGTTAGCTTAACCACAGGTTCTACCTCTTAGAAGTCATGAAGTTCAGTGTGTTGTTTTTCAGCAAGATAGGAATTTGGGTGTGAGGGGAGCCCAGATAGTATCATACAAAAGGGAGCTTGCAGCTGTCTCCATTAGGGTGGCTCCAGTTTTTTTTTTTTTTTTTTCTGATTTCAAATAAAGTATGCAACATTACTGTTTTTCTTTCTTGTGGTAGATGAAAGTAAAAAATAAAACTAAAAAATGCATAAATAACATACAAGCCAATATTCTTACCAGAAAGCTTAGTATAAAACTGTTTCCATGCACTTTTAAATGCAGAAGAAAGAAAAATAAATTAGAATAACATTGTCAATCCTTTGCAAAGAAAAAATGAGTCAGCTGATCATGACTGCATTTTTTCTCCACAATTTTTCTACTGCTGCTAATATTCCTAACTTTCTGACCTAAGAGTGAAATGTAAATTAGTATTGATAACGTAGTTATCAGCTCAAATTTCTTTCCAGAAGCCTTATTTTCACATCTAAAGCCGGAGGTTTGAGGTTAGTCCGAGACTAACGTTATTTAGCAAAGAGTTCACAACTGTAATTAAGTCCCCTCCTTTGATGGTATTCCTTTCCATCTTAGGGGTCAGTTCTAAAGCTAGGCCCTACTGATGTCATTCTACTGCTAATCAATGTCCCTGACCCAAGCAGAGTATCCTTGAAGAACGTGTAATCTTGATTCATCCTCATTAGTCAGGCAGGAATTTTCAAAAGCTAGTGACAAGTTAGATTATACTAGAATAGAGCAGGCTCTTCTCAAACTTGCTGCGATCTTCTTGTCCTTATCTCTCCTATGCTGGACTGAGAAGCTTGTGTTACCATACCCAGATATTAAAAAACAATTTGGTTATCTGAAAAACCTTTTTAGTACTGTTGTTTTTGGTTAGAATTGCTCAGTTCAGCATTTTTCTTCTTCAAGACAGGGTTTCTCTTTGTAACAGCCCTGGCTGTCCTGGAACGTGCTCTGTAAATCAGGCTAGCCTCAAACTCACAGAGATCTGCCTGCCTCTGCCTTCCAAGTACTGGGATTAAAGTCATTTACCACTTCACCCAGCTTTTACAAAGGTTTTTAAAGAAAAGGAAGTAATAGAAAGCAATATGGAGAGGTTAGCAGTTTCTATAGACCAGAAAATACAGACTAGAATGCATGGAATTTCCTGTTCTGGTGTTCTAGTATTTCTTTTTAATGTTTTCTGTGGAAAAAAAATAGCACCTTCCCTAGAAAGCCTGTCTCAATAAAGTATTGACTGCTTCGTGCACTGAAAAATACAGTACAGCCAGAAGTACCACGTACGGCATTAGGATTCCTTACCTTTATAAAGTCTGAAGACTTATATGGGGCATAATACATTTCCTCCCCAGCAGAAGTAGGTGGATCTCTATGAGTTCAAAGCCACCCTGGTCTATAGAGCAAGATCCAGGACAGCCAGGACTACCAGAGAAACCCTGTCTCAAAAAAAAAAAAAAAAAAAAAAAAAAAAAAAAGAGAGAGAGAGAGAGAGAGAGAGAGAGAGAAAAGAAAGAAAGCAAAAGTCAAAGTGCTGGGTGGTGGCAGCATGCCTATAATTCTAGTAATATTTGGGAGGCTGAGACAGGAGCAGCTCGGATTCAAGGCTACTCTTGGCTACATAGTATGTTCTGGGTCAGCCTGAGCATTACCCTGTTTCAAAAATTATTCATTGGTAGGTAGAAAATTGATAGGGTGTTTATGAGTTATAATCATGTTTCTAAAGAGTTCAGGTGCAGAGGGATAGGTATAAAAACTGCAGTAATACAGTTTCGTTTCTTTGCAGGTATCAGACTGGGTAGACCCATCGTTTGATGACTTTTCATCGACTGCTGCTGTCACTGCTATCACTGCTTCATGTTTAGGGCTGAACAATTCCAGTCACAGAAGGAAAAAACTGCCCTCCACATCAGGCAGTAACAGACTGCCAGCTAGAAAAAGGGGAAAGCTGTCTTCTTTAGAACAGACTTATGGTGTGGAAACTTCAAAAGAAGAGTGTCTGACTGACATTGAGCCGTGGGTGGATAAATATAAACCAGAGACTCAGGTATGCATTGGATATCACACAACATGCCTGTGTCATTTTAGGATGGATGAGCATGGGTAACAAAGAAATGTTTTTAGAGTTTTAGCTTGCTGTTGTGGCTCACACCTTTAATTCCATCACTCAGGAGGCTGCCAGATCTAGTGAGTTCAATGCCAGCCTTGTCTATACAGCAAAGTTCTAGGAAGGCCGGGGCTATAAAAAGGGACTCAGTCACAAAAACAAAACAAAAAACCCAAAATAAATTAGTAAAATGAAGTAGAAGAAAAATGTGTAATATATATATATATATATATATATATATATATATATATTTCAATGTTTAAAGCCTGTGATACTACCAAGTTTTTTCTTCGTGCTACCCTTCTCTGCTCTGCCCACCCCCAGGAATATAATGCTGGGTGTTTTAAAAGTTTCATGATAACAGACTTTAAAACATTGCCATACGGTATATCAGCATGAGGATAGGGTTTTTCCATAGCATGAGGAAAGGGTTTTTTCATAAAAACATAAAAAT